CCCCCCAGGATCATATGACTCCATTTCTGGCACTTGGCAGCCAACTCACATTTGTGGCCAATTGCCAAATGCCCTGCAATTATGTGATTGCTATTTGCAATCTTCTCTGCTGACTTCTTTAGAAAGTTAGTGGGAAAGATGGCAGAGAAGGTAGCAAGCAGAGGGGACAGAGGGGAGCTGAAATCCTTTGGCAGGCTTCAGGAACAGAATTGAAATTTTTAGGATTTCACATCTTTTTCTGCAGCCCACAGAGATTTATTTAGTTATCAAAATTAAGAGACCTCCTGTCTCACAGAGTGACATGCATGGATGGGAGCTTCTCTTTCAGGATTTCAGCTCCATTCCTGCAGCCCATCAAAGATTCCAGAAAGCCTAAAGATTTCAGCTCTGTTCATGTAGACCACTGAAGGAATTCTCCTCCACAGAGGGGAAGGGAAATCCCTTGGCGTTCTCAGGAATGGAAAAAAAAATCCTGAAGAATTTATGTCCATGCTTGCAGCTCACCAAAAGATTTCATCTCTATGCATCAAGGGAAACTGAATACTTCAGAAGCTGCAAGAACATTTTGAGAGCAAAATGGCTGCTTGTCAGGAAGATTTTTGCATGGAGCTGAAACCCTCTGGCAGGCAGCTATTGCTCTGTCCATTTAAAGACCCGGGAGATCATTTAACAACTGCCACAGAGATTTCCAAGATTCCAGTCAAGGGAAGCTTAATGGACTGCTTTGCTCAATGACTGAGATTCTGGTTCCAGTTGTAGTTGTAAGTTGAAGACTACCTGTGTTTAATCATTTTCTCTTTCTAGCCCATTGAGAATTAACAGAATAAAAGAGTTGGAAGGGACCTTGGAGGTCTTCTAGTCTAAGCCTCTGCACAGGCAGGAAACCCTATGTCATTTCAGGCAAATTGTTGTCCAACCTCTTTCTTCTTAAAAACCTCCAGTGTTGAAGCACTCACAACTTCTGGAGGCAAGTCATTCCACTGATTAATTGATCTCACTGTCAGGAAATTTCTCCTTAGTTCTAGGTTGGTTCTTTCTTTTAGTAGTTTCCATCCGTTGCTTCTTGTCCTTCCTTTAGGTGCTCTGTAGAATAGGCTGACCCCCTGTTCTTTGTGGCAGCCCATAAATAGTGGAACACTATAGCAATCATGTCACCCCTAGCCCTTCTTTTCATTAAACTAGACATACCCAATTCTTGCAACTGTTCTTCAGGGCTGACACTTCAGGGCCTTTATTTATTGTTAAGCATGCCGCATATTACATGTTTTATATTCAAATAAGCAAAAATATAAGTGTATTGCCCATTACTTCTTTGGACTGAGATTAAGATGGAGAATTAAGAAGTTAAATGAATAGCATCTTGAAAGTGATAAAGAGAGCAAATACAATGCTAATGTACAGTATTGGAAAGAAGATCCAAGACTATAATGCTGACCTATATTCCCAGGGATTTGGATGTTAATACTGTCAAAGAGACTGAAGGGATCTGTTTACCATTCTCTACTGAAGTGAAGGCTGAACAGTCATTGCACTGGAAAGGTAATATTGGTTGAATATTTAATTACTTTCTCTTAATGATGTTTAATTGTAATTATTTCCAGAGAACCATGAAATAATGGGAATATTTGAGAGCTAAAGTATAATTCAGTTTACAATTTAGATTTTAAAACATTGAAACATTTCTAATAAAACAGTGAAAAAGAGAATCATTCTAAGCTGTGTCAAGTCCTTAATGTCCCATCTATCAAGGAGGCAAAGGAAATTGCAGGGAAAGAAAGAGTCATGTTCTAATTATGTAGGGAGAGAAGGAATCAAGTTGAAGTTGAAATCATTACTTTAGATTCAGGTCTATATATCTGCAATACTTTAAAAGGTGAAATCTCTCTGCTTACAACCACTGGCATTTACCAGAAAAGGTGATTTGCCTTTTGAGCGTAAAGAAACCCACACCAGTTAATATAAAAACAATGTTTTACACATTTGTCTACACTTTATTCTGCATCTTTTCAGCAGCATTTTACAAATGATTGCAGCACATCCTGTTATCTCCTGTCTTTTTGAAGCAACTGAGATAAAAATAAATAAATTTTAAAAACAGAATGTTAAAGCTTGAACTTCTTAAATTAATGTTAAAAAATGGTTTTTAGATTTTTTTTCTTCTAAATAAACTTTGAATGAACCATTAAACTCTCAATTGAAGATTTACTGCTTTAAGATAGAGATAGTTCACATAAGAATGATTGACTCATTGATGGGATTGACTTTTATTTGTTTGAACTGGAATAGTAACACCTATCTGAATTCAAGATTTCTGGAGACAGGCATCATTTTTCTTAAGAGAAGGGAAGTCTACGTGCAACATTTCTGGAATTATTGAAATATACCTCCATCCCACCCCCATAGGTTCATATTTAATTAAATCTGCCCAAGTGAATGGGACATTTCGCTATTGTCTTTCAATTTGAGTGGCTGATTGAAAGCTGCTAAGCCCTTCCATTCAAATTATGTGATGGTAGAAGTAGGCAATGTTCTCATATGAGCTCATGTTAGTGATGACCCCAATCACAGCAATGTTTTGCTTTTATTCTGATTAGATTTTCTTCTGAATATTCAAAAAAATTGGTATTTTAAGATGTTATTGTACATATTCTGTAGTAGGATAGCACATGAAAAATCCAAATTGTATGTAGATTTGCATACACAGTTTGTATAGAAATCTGAAACTTTGTGCATTAGTTTCTTAGGACTGTGCTACATAGTAACATTAAAATGAAACTTAAATTATGCATTTTGGGAAATTATGCTGTTACATTCAATAATACTACTTGTTTTTTAATTGAAGATATTCAGTCTTTAAAGCAGAAAACTGCTGCTGTTGTAGCAGACGTCACCGAGTTAATTTCACGATTAGAAAATGAGCGTAAAGATGCTGAAGAAGCCTTAGAGTTTGAGAAGCAACACAGAAAAAAACTATACCTAAATTCAGATAAACTGTCATTTTGGAGACTACAACAGCTTCCCAAAGCTGTTCAAAAAGGTATAAGAAATAGCCATTTTTAAAAAAAGGTATATATTTTTGTGCCATCTTAAAACTTCTGGGGAAAAAAGATATGAAATTGCTATTCTTGGGAAGCATTTGAAATGACTGTGGTGAAATAATATTCCAGGAGAGAGGAGAATTATTTTAGCCACTGAATTTTTTAAAAATCCAATCTACCATGTCCAAAAGATCAAAGTTCTGTATACTGCTATTATTTAAATTTTAAGTTTTATTAAAATGTGAGCATGTATATTCATCAGGAAGATATTATCAATATTCCCTGGTAAATTTGCTTATTGCTTTACAATCAACATCTTGATAATATTCTGAGCTTGGTTGTTTTCTTGTAGATGCTTCATTACCAACTACCGTAAGTAGTGCTAGATCACCATCAGGTCTAGCAGTGATGATATTACCTAGTTTGGTAATGAAACATCTGCAAAAAAACAACCACAGAGAGCACCAAAGACTCCACAGTTCAGCCCTGACCTACAGATAATCTCTTCTGTTGATACTGATAGTACTTTGTACATTATACTGTCAATATTATAATCTCCAAAAACTTTAAGGAATATATATATATATATAAATATGCTCACATATAGTGCAAAAATACTTTGTAGACTTCTTTCCAAGCATTGAGCAAATCTAAAACAGTTCTTGGAAATATGTATGTTCTGACCTCATAAAATATAAGAGCCTGGTTATACACTCTGCTAGATCAGTATGCCGAAGTCCCTAAATAAAAAATGTAATTTTAAAAAATATTACTGCAAATTCACTTAACCTTACTGAAGATCTCTCTGAGGGAGCTTGCTAGCATGCGTAGCATTTATATGAATATGGTACTAAAGCGACACTTTGCAAACCATTTCTCCATAGTGCTGTCACTACTTTTGCTTCCAAGAAAATTTGAGATGTACAGTGCATTCCTTTCTGATCACCAACATTAATTGGTGATCATTACTTCATCTACTTGCTGTTTGTTCAGAAATTCTCTTTTGTTTAAATGTCATATTAAGCAACTTAATATTCTTTAGAGTCTATTTGATGAGAGTGTATTAATAGTCCTCTTTTGTGTCAAGTTCATCTCAAGCAGTGTATGGTTGTATTCTGAACAACTGTGCACATTCCATTTTTAATTAATATGACATTTTGCTTCATTATGACTATAGGAGCCATTGACATTTTCTTGAGATTAGTTGGAGGTTAATAATAATAATAATAATAATAATAATAATAATAATAATAATAATAATAATAATAATAATAAAGTTGGAAGGGACCTTGGAGGTCATCGAGTCCAACCCCCTGCCCAGGCAGGAACCCTACACCATTTCAGACAAACGGCTGCCCAGTCTCTTCTTAAAAACTTCCAGTGTTGGAGCATTCACCACTTCTGGAGGCAGGTTGTTCCATTGGTTAATTGTTCTAACTGTCAGGAAGTTTCTCCTTAGTTCTAGGTTGCTTCTCTCCTTGATCAGTTTCCACCCATTGCTTCTCGTCCTGCCTTCAGGCGCCTTGGAGAATAACTTGACTCCCTCTTCTTTGTGGCAGCCCCTGAGATATTGGAACACTGCTATCATGTCCCCCCTCGTCCTTCTCTTCATTAAACTAGACATACCCAGTTCCAGCAACCGTTCCTTATATGTTTTAGCCTCCAGTCCCCTAATCTTTGTTGCTCTTCTCTGTACTCTTTCTAGAGTCTCAGCATCTTTTTTACATCATGGTGACCAAAACTGGATGCAGTATTCCAAGTGTGGCCTTACTAAGGCATTGTAAAGTGGTATTAATACTTCACGTGATCTTGATTCTATCCCTCTGTTAATGCAGCCCAGCACCGTGTTGGCTTTTTTGGCAGCTGCAGCACACTGCTGGCTCATATTTAAGTGATTGTCCACTAGGACTCCGAGATCCCTCTCACAGTTATGCTTATTTCTTTACTTATTTATTTTCAATATTCCTATCCCTATTATAACAGACTCAGCATAGGTAACAACACAGTAAACACATAATTCCAAAATTAAGATCTGAATCCTCACTGAAAACTTTCAAATCATCTGTATCCTTTGGAATCATATATAGTTGATTTGCCATCACTTTTTCAACAACCTTCTCCAAGGGAAAAAAAAAGAGACTGGAAATTTGTCCAATAGTGTCAAAATAAGACTTCTTCACTATTTCACAAGGATAATATACAAAATTTTCTTGTCATGTTCTGTTTTCTAAAGCCCATTGAAGGTTATGTATATTGAACAGCATTCAAAACAAGAACACTAGAAACATACATTCTGCAAGATTTAGGTAATTATTATTCATAATGCAAAATTCAGCTGAGATGGACTGCAGAGGTGGTCTCTGGAACTATTATATAGTATCCATTACCTACAAGAAATAATTTGGGGTGCTATCTTCATAATTCATTTTGTGTTCAGATATCAGCAAAAATGTGAGATTTGTCTTTTCTAGAAATTGCTATTGCCCATTTTTTAAAAAAAACAACAATCTGAGTATTCCAGCAATATAGCATGAGTGATTCTTTATATCTGTGTTAATAATGGTATCAGAAAAAAGTTAACTAATTGAAACAGAAAAAAAAATCAAATCTTTAGCTTCTTATTTATTTGTACTACTGAAAAAATGTATCATAGACTACTATGCAGTATGGACATTAATTTTCTTCAGAAAATGCAATTACAGCATTGTTTTATAGACAGATGATATAAAATTATCTTTTGAAGAGAAATGTACATATATTTTAGAATCTAGCAGCTTGTTACATATTTAAACTTAAAAGCAATAATTATCATTTTCTTATAAGAAATGGTTTCTTTTACACTTTGCAGAATGGGAGAAATGTTTGCAAGATATAATAGAATTACAATGGCATTTTGAAGAAAAAAATGAGCAATTACAGGATGCACTAACCCAACTGACAAAAATAGAGGCAGCCAATTCAGTGATGCAGAAGCAGATAAACTTCATGAAGAAATACAGCCCTCTGCTGGAAGAAAAGCTATGTCATGAAAATGATTCAATAAAAGAAGTAAAAACATTATTTGAGGAGGTAAAGGGGTTCAATATTTTAATTATATTTTATTATATTTTTTATTTATTGCGTGTGCATTTTAAATTTCTGTGTCCAACAATAATGCTAAATATCTAAACATGAAAATATGTGAAAAAATAGCACAATGCCCATTCTTTTCTTATGAGAATGAAAAATAAGAATATAACTTCTTATGAAATCAAAATGCAATTTTATTATAGCAATGTTAGGTTTGATCAATTGTTCAACGTATCAATATGAGATTAAATATTAAAATAGTATAATAGTATTGATTATATCCGATCATTATTTTCTTATAAAAATGAAAATGTTACCTGTAGGTTTTACCCCTTTAATTCTTATCAAGTTTTGACTTTGGTATGTAATGTCTTCCTTATAGAAAATGGAGTCTTTGTTTTGCACATGAAATCGTGATTGTAATTTCTTTTTCAATTAATAGAGTTGTTTTGTTATTTTCTGGTTTTAATTTTCTTTCTGCTGCCCAGAATGGTGAGTGGTGGTGAGATGGGCAAGCAGTGTGAAACAAACAAATGAATATAAATAGTGATTTAATAAAGATGAGCCTCATTATTAGATTCTCATAGCCAGATTAGAAAACTAGTTATATTAAACCTAATTTCCAAAGATTGAGGTGCAGTTTGGAATCTGAATCCATGGAATTCTTGAGTTTCGGAATCTTGGAAAAATTCTAGAACAAAATGTTGTTTTGGCTCTATTGTTAGTAGCTCCATCCAATTAAAAAAAATACTGTTATGAAATGGCTCCATTCAAAGCAAAATAAAAATAATATTGGGTGGGATTTACTTAATTTGGAAAGTACATACTAATTGGATTATCATTCGAATAAGACCCTATTAGTGCTTTACTCATATACATGCATGCACAAACATTCTCTGTCTCTCTCTTTCTCTCTCTCACACACACGAACACACAGACAGAGTTGAAATTTATAAACCCTGCATTATATTATCAAGACATCAATATGTTAAAAGAAACATGTAAAGTAATTTTCTACATGAATATCCATATTTAATGTATGAGAAAAATAAATAGCAATGGTAAATAAGAAAAATAAAAAATGTTTAAGATTCTGAACAATCATGAACAGTCATGTCTGTAAGAGGAAAAAAGAATCTGATGGTATTGTAATAATACGCATATACCAATACTAATACCAATAATAATTACAATATTGTAATAATACCATCGGTGTCTATGAAGAGGTCAAAGGGGAACAAATAACAACATGAGCATCTCAATGTCATCACACAAATGCAAAAATCTGGCAAATGCTAAAAGTAATAGTGGTATTTGTTGGATAATGTTATTGCATGAGTATTGTTTTAGTACTATTGTTTGTTATTGGCTATTTGCAAAAAGGTTTGAACAAATATTAATTAAAATATTAAGCATTTTTTAATTCTTTAAGTCTGATGATACAGCTATACTCACATATATTATTTTGGACAGTAGCAATTGGATTATTTATTTGATTTCTTATCTTGAAATCATGAAAAGCATTTGGGGATACAGAAAATAAAATAAAAAGAAGTTAGTGTTTACCAGACAAATACACTCAGATAATAAATCCACAATATGTTAGTGAGATAAAAATGTGATGTTAGGTATTTTTATCATAGTAGATTAGTATAAATTAACTCTTTCAAATTCTTTGTACAGGTAGCCCTTCTTATGACCATAATTGAGCACAATGCACAATGCAGTGCAGTGAATCACTGTAGTTGTTAAGTTAGGGATACAGTTATTAAGTGAATCTGGCTTCACCATTGACTTTGCTTGTCAGAAGGTCGCATTATTTCATTATGGTCCTTGAGTATTGTTACAATCCTTGTTATACTTTTAGTTTTATATTATAAATTAATTTCTGTTTCTTTCAAAGGCAAAAGCTCAATATGATACTGTCCATCAGAAATATTTGGAAGTGCAAAAATTGCATGAAGAAATCAAAGAAGAATGTGAAACAAAAAGACAATATATGTTTGAGCAAATAGAAGCCGATGAGACTACATTAAACCAACTTAGGTAAGTATATTTTAACTTTCCAAGAGAATTATTCTTCAGGCAATCTCCATTTATACATAGAAACAGATCTTGATTATTTTAGAAAGCTATGTTGTGTTTATATAAAGAATATTTATATTCTTCTATTCAATCTTGTCCAATTCTCAGAGACTGCCTTGTCAAATCCCTGCAAGGTTTTTCAGGCAAAAAATTGTTGGTTTGAAAGAATAGGAGAAATAGTAGAACTTTTGCTAAAAGGAGGAGAAGAAGTAATGTGGTAAGGATTAATTAAGGTATTAATTTAAGCTAATATATGATATAGGCAAAGCTTGTGGAATTTTCTTGTAGCCAGAAATGAATGAGGAATGGATTCTGGAACATAAAAAAAAACTATCTTGCACTCTGGGCAGGAGAGAGGAAGAGCATAAGGAAAGTGGGCTAGTGGATCTTGTCATGCTGAGTTATTGACAGCAGTTGAAGGGGGATGAAGGAAATTCATCCAGTATGTCAAGTTGGTTGATACTGAGGGGATGAAGAGAAAGAAAGAGAAATACATTACCAGTCTTGTCCTTCCATCCCTTCCTTCATCTGCCACAGCTACTATCTTTGGCTTTTCGTAGCTTTTCCCCTTCTCTGAAAGACCCCTGAATCAATTTTATTCAGTGCATGAACCAATACATCTCAAATGTATGCTTAATTTCAGGCATGAACCAGCCAGAAATAACTGTTTTGTGCACAGAATGTTTTGGGCGTTCCTAGTTATTATATAGAAAGTGTCTTTTATCAGTGATAGCAATCATAATTTAGGTAATATTCCTAATTACAATAAAACTGTTCTCTGACTTGGGAGCAGAACTTCTGTGTCTATGAGATATCCCAATCTTAGTGTTGTGTCTAGCAGTTCTCCTTAATTGTGTATCATTGCAGATTATCAAAAGAAGGAATTTACAATCAGAAATTCCTCACCATAGTAAAAACGAACTTTTGATGAATGTCTGGATTGGATCCCATCTACTATGAGCAGAATTCTGCTCAGGGAACAGGGCTTTCTTCCTGTCCTTTCTTGCTGCAGGTTTTTTCAATAGTATTTTGTAGGGAATTCTCCACAAGAAGGATAGAGGAATCACTAAGTATTGGTTACCCGCCATTATATGAAGAAAAGCTAATTTATCTTCCTTGGCAGATATCTTAAGATGTAGAAATACTTCTGCATTCAATTTTTCTAGGACACTTTTTAGAATATAAAATACATACTATATTTGCTGTTAGTGAGCAAGCCCAGTGTCGCTGCTGCTCTCCCTGTCCTCTCTTATTAGCTTCCAATATACAATGTTAAACACTATTATCCTGCAAAAATATAAGTTGACTGACAAGCTAGGATTGTAGAAATCTGTGGGCTGTAAAGCATATGGAAATGAATGAAATTTACACCAACGTGCTTAGACTTACATGAATGCTAGATATCAGAAGTTAAGAAAGTACTGTTGCTGCAGCCCACTACCGGGTCGTGGCCTCTTGGCCACCAGGCCACCTGAATGGCTGGCTAGTGCATCCGTGCATGTGTGTGCGCTCGCCCCCCTTGCACCAACGGTAACTGAGCCCTGAGCCTCACGCTAGCCAAGCCACAAGCCTCTTGCTGGTGCTAGCCAACCCGTGAGCTACGCGCCAGCACTAGTCAACCTGTGAGCCGTGCACCGTGCTAGCCGAGTTGGTGCCAGTGCTAGCTGAGTTGTGTGCTGGCGCTAGCCGAGTTGCGTGCTGTGCGTTGGCGCTACCATTCCCATTTGCAGAACATGCATGCTCACAGCCCCGTTCATGCGCATGCAGCCACATTTGTGTGTGGGTGCGCATGTGCGCATAAAGGTGCCTGCCTCTCCCTTTCCCACTGGGCCACCAACCCAAAAAGGTTAGGGACCCCTGGTATAAGGGATACCTGCAGTTATAAAGAGATTGATAGTACTGCAATTATACCAATAAATATTCACTCGATCTTTAATTTATTTGGAGAAATAGATAATTTATTCTTGCTGCTTTTTAGGGATGAGTTAAAAGAAACCGACATGTTTTATGCTGACATCAATAACAAAATACATGGATTGAGGGAGGAAATACTAGAAAATGAAAATCGCCTTGAAGAGCTAATTAAGCAAGAAGCAGATATAAAAGCTGACTTAAATTCTTGGCGCGATAAAGTGAGTTTTAAATATTAAGTGCAAAGCATGAAAATTTCAAAACTACAACAGCACATGGAATCCTACAATTATATCTACTAAAAACATAGGCAATTTGCAATCAACTAATAAATGTGTTATATAGTACGGTGAAAATATTTAATTAAAAATCACATACATTCCATTTTGCACATTCCAAAATCAGTATCCAGCATGTTTTAGCAACTAGGGCCTACAGATCCCAACAGGTTCCATTGGGGTTAACATCAACCTTGTTTATCCCTCCTCAGGATGGGTGCCATTAAATTGCTATATATGACAGATAATTAAGAACACAATCTTATTTAGGAATTAGTCCCAATTAATGAGACTTCCTAGTAAACATTTACAGGAATGTACTTTTAGTCCTCTATAGTTTTGATATTAATATAATTTTTATTAATATTGTAAATTCCTATGAATGGAAATTAGCTAGCTAAAATGGCCTATCAATAATGAAAAACAGCACACAATTATTTCCTTTTCTTCCTGCTCTACAGAGCTGAGGGAACTCACCTGAGTAATATAGGAAGAAGCTGCATGACGAAAGAAAGCTGACAAGAATTTTCTCTGCAGTTTGCTTGCAAGAACTTTTTCTCACTTTGTCAGTGTTCTTCTGTGAAACAAAAGAAGGACAATTCAGGATTCAAGATGGGTGCAAACATATGTTTTTATCAAGTGATAAACTTATCTAGTCCAGCATTCTGCTTCCTCAGTGGCAAACCAGAGGTGTTTCATGTGATTTGTCCATAAGCACAGTAATACTGCCTCATTCATGTTGCTCAGCAATTGGGTTTCAAAGGCATATCAGACCTTGAAGAGCTGAGAAAGATCCAAAAGAGTTATAAAAGTAACCAAGAAGCTTGAGCAACTCTCTGTGAGAAACATTATATCTTCAGGAACATTTTAGCTTAGGACAAATGTAGATCAGGAGATTTACACACATCCAATTTTTGTTATAATGTATAAAATTATGTATGATGTAAAGAAATTATGTATTAATAAAGAAAATATCTACAAGAACTGGGGTCATCCAATAAAGCTAAATGGTGAGAAATTCAAAACTGAGAAAAGGAAATCCTTCACACAGAGAATAGTTAAGATTATGTGATATATCTGCATAAAATGTAGTGATATCTATCAATTTAGATTAATTTTGAAGTTGATTCTATAAATTAAATAATGTATTTTAATATTAGGAAAGGCGTTTGAAATTGAAAATTTCAAGACAAGAAAGTGAAAACAAACAATTGATGGATGAGCTTTTTGCAGAGATGAAGATTATGGAAAACACAGTGAGTTTTAGAATTCATATATATATATATATATATATATATATATATATATATATATATATATATATATATATATATATATAATGTTTTTCCATTCAATTCATGTGATATGAAATTATGTGTTTTCATAATTATTCATATGATATATATATGCTATCTGTAGAAATCCAATAAAGAGTCTGATCTACAAAAACTGAAGGATAAGCTTGCAAACAATCTTCAGCAGTTCACTTGTTTGCAAAATGAAATCCAATATCTTAAAAATGAAAATGCCGGATTTATGTACAAATTCAGAGAGAGGTAAGTGGCACTGTGTTAACACCCAAAAGCTTACATTCTGAATAACCCCAATTTAACAATATTTCATTTTTAGTCTTTTTATTCTCATTGAAGACATAAATCATTTGAGTTGTATGTCAATTAATTTGGAGAGATTAGATGATTTCTGTTGAACTTGCTTAAAATCTGATTTAGCTTAACTTCTGGTATTAATGCTAAACTGATAATTTATAATGTTTTCAAATTTAAAAGTGATATTATCCCATCCTAATACATAAACACAAAGTCCATCTTGCCCATACTAAGGTGATATGAAATGGGGCAGGGAAGGGAAAAGTGGTTAAAAGAAGTCAAAGAGAATACAGGTAGTTCTTGACTTCCAACAGTTCATTTAGTGACTGTTCAAAGTTACAACAGCACTTAAAAATGAGTTATTACTGTTTTTCACTCTTATGACTGTTGCAGCATTTCCATGGTCACATGATCAAAATTCAGATGCTTGGTAACTAACTCATATTTATGATGGCTGCAATGTCCCGGGGTCATGTGATTACCTTTTGTGGCCTTCTGACAAGCAAAGTCAATTGGGAAGCCAGATTAATTTAATAGCCATGTTACTAATTTAGCAGCTGCAGTAATTCACTTAACAGCTGGGCAAGAAAGGTTTTAAAATTGGGCAAAGCTCACTTAACAACTGTCTCACTTAGCAACAGAAATTTTGGGCTCAATTTTGGTCATACGTTGAGGACTATCTGTACTGTAGTAACAACAGACTAATTTTGCTTCATCTCAGAGTTAAGAATATGAACTCCTTGGAATAAACAACAATGAATGTGAATACAAAGTGGCCATTTAAGAATTTTATGCAATTAATTAATTCTTAGGCTAATTAATACTAATTAATTTTAGCAGATTAAAGCCTATGTTTGCTTAGTAAGCAGCAATTAATCAAATATGGAAGTGATATAATAATTTTTTAAATGTATATTGTGTTCCTAAGAAAATGTTTATACTATGTGTTTGTTAAAACAAGAACAAGTTACACTTTTTAAAACTGTAGAATGAGTGCATTTCCCTGAAAACTCACTCATTCTACAGTTTTAAAAAATGTTTTCTAAGTGTGCAGATCAGATTACAAAAAAGTAGATTATTTAAATGATGGAATCAGGTACTTCTTGATTTACAACCATAAGTGAGCCCAGAATTATAGTAGTAAGTCATTGCAGTTGGAAGTTGTATCATCTAGTGACCGGATTGGATGATACAATTATTTTTTATGGTTGCTAAGTGAACGCCACATTTATGAAGTAAATGCTGTGGTCATTAAGTAAATGCCACCATCGTTAATCAAAAGCCATGATTGTTAAGTGAATCCATTTTCCCCAATGGACATTTTTTGCCAGAAACCAGAAGTAAATACTGGCAACCAGCAAAAAATGTTGCAAATTTCAGTCACATGACTGCAGGACACTGCAAATGGCCATAAAGGTGAGCTGGTTGCCAAGCTTCCAAAGTGATCAAGTGAGCATCAGGATGAATGTGGCCATTGTAACTTCAAAAAACAGGTTGTAAGTAGTTCTGATGTGGTCTATCATTAAGCGACTGGTCATAAGTTGAGAACTACTTTATAAATTCTGGTCAAGAATAAATTGTGCTAAATAGTATAGAAGAAAGTTACAAGTGAGACAAAGGAATACAATGAAGTTACAAAGATATAAGTGTAAAAGGTAGTTGAAAAAAGATAGTATGGGTAATATTTATATCTTAATAGAAGAAACATAGAACAAGGTAACAGAAATGGAGCTATTAGATTTTAGAGGAATGTGTAGATATGTTAGGCATAACAAGGGAGATGTGGTCATCTAATATTAAAATTGGTGCCACTTTGCATATCAAAATGTCAAAGTAGCAATCATAAGAAAGCAATTAATTTGCTAGATCATTATCTAAGACAAATGTTTCCAAGGTTTGTTTCTATACCTGAGGAGTTAGCATAATATTTGAAAAGAAGACAGTGTAATATCATTTTTGTTAATGACAATGAAATAATTCAGGAAAATACAGAATGTCTATTTTGAATAAATTAGTGAAAACTATGATTAAAGATACAATTATCAAAACTGAATTATGTATGAATATGTTTAGTGAAGTTAGTCAATAACTACTTTATAATTTTGCTAAGGTATGGCTTGTTTTAACCATACTTTGTTAAAAATGCTGTGGTGGGGGATTAATGCATAATGTTAAGTATAAACCATGGTTCAATACTATTCTCGGGGGAAATTTGCCACTACAACAGTAGACTGCTTTGTTCTTAGGTTAATAATTGTATTACACCTCAGAACAACTATTCAAGTAAAGGTAATATCTTGGTCATTTAACTAAACCCATTTGCACTAGCAAAAATGTAAAGCAAGGTTATATTCTTACCCCACTTTTATTCAACTTTTACATTAACAATATTGTTGAGATGTTTGCTAAACCAGAATGCTATCCTCTTTCCCTGCCCACTGCCTCATTTTTGTTCTCCTTTATGCTGATGCCTAAGGTTTTGTCTTTAACTTAGTAAGCCTCCAAGATGCCTTAAAGCTCTATCATTTTACTGCTCTAGTGAAAGCCATCAAATAAATTATTCTAGAACAAAAGTATTGCTATTCTATAGGAATCACTTTAATGCCCCAATTAGATGGATGATCAATGGTAAAAATATCAAGCATCTGAAAATCTAGATGTCTGTTTTCAATGTTCTACTTGCTGGTGTACTCCAACAAGAGATCTTCTAATGAACGCCACCAAAGTATTCCTTCCAATTGCTAAATTTGCAGATAAGTTTAGTAACAATTATTTTCCAGCAGCTATTAAACTAATTAAAACCAAAGGTCTAGGTTTGATGCTATATGGTGCTCAGTTAAATATTTATAAGGAGTCTCCTAGTTTAGAAGCAATTTAATCAAAATTCTTCAAAATTTTACTATGAGTTTCTTATTGAACTTTCAGTGCTCTAATATGACTAGAATTTGGCTGGATTTCCCTTGGGGTTCAATTAAGATTTTGTCATCTTAGATTCTAGCTTAGTCCATCTCACCTTACTGGATAGGGGTCTCTTCCAACCTAAGAAGACAAATTAATGACAATTTAAATCTAATGCCTTTATCACTGTGCCATACAAAATCTCTTAGCTATATTTGTGCTCTTCTAGTTTTACTATAGAAGGCAAACTCTTTGTGATTCCTAGTAATTTCATGCTCATGTACAAATGGTTTTCGTGACAATGAGACCAAAATGCTTTCTGCTGAGATGTTTTTGCTCAGCTGTCTAGCCTACAGCTCTTCCAGTCAGTTAATAATCATATCCAGCCTGATTAGCATTTGAAGATGAAAGTTCTAAGTTTCTTCACAACAAATAAGGGTTAAATTTATAATGATAAATACAGCTTTGTCATCCTTTTTTGTTTACTCTATAAATATATTTAAAAAATAAATTTGTATTATATCAGTGAACTCCCAATTATAAAAGATGAAGCAAACTGTGGCATTTCTTTATAAAAGCATAACAAAAGATGTAGCCTTTCTAAACTACTAAAAAGTGCTAATATTGTAAGCAGTTTTTAAATTTGTTTTAAATAGTGCAAGAAGGAAAATGGGATACCAATCAGAAATTCAGGTTTTGCAGAAAAATATTCGTAGACTGGAAGAACATTTAAAAAAAGTAAATAAAGACCTTTATGGTGCTGAATTGGCTTATGATGACGCCAAAACAAAACTGGAAGAACTGAATCAAGGCATTGTTAAAGAAAAATCACGTTTCAAGGTTGTTTAATATTATTGAATTATATTTAATTATAAGACGTTCAATTATTGCACTGAGCAGAATAGAATATTATTGCATTAACCCAATTTTGTATTTAAAGAAATTGTTTTTCTGGAGAAAACAAGTTTTCAGTAATATTTATTTCATTTCTGTGAAAAACTTCATATCTGATTTTTTTTCTAGTTCAAGAAGCTTGCCAGGCCACTTTTTCTAGTATAGTTTTTAGCCATATTTTGCATTATTCTTTTCTATGCACTGTTGGTAAACCTAGGGCAGTGATGGCGAACCTTTTAGCGACCGAGTGCCCAAACTGCAACCCAAAACCCACTTATGCATCGTCGGGTGCCGGGTGGGTGTGGCCCATTGGGTGGGTGTGGCTGCGGTGGTAAAAGCAGACTGGGTGGGACTAAAAAGTTCAATCAATCAATTCCAACTTTGCAAGATCTTTTTTTTTCTGCGAGAAGTTGAAATTGACTGATTGATTGAAACTTTTTTTTTGTACACGGCAGCGGAGGCCTAAAGCGAAAAGGTTTTATAAAACCCAGCTGAAGGCCTAGGACTGGGGTGACAGCGCATGTGCCCACAGAGAGGGCTCTGAGTGCCGCCTCTTGCACGCGTGCCATAGGTTCGCCACCACTGACCTAGGGGCAAGCATCACTATTCAAGAGAGTATTTGCAGATAGATGTTTATATCCATTGCTAATGAAGAAATATATTGTATTCTTTATCCAACTTTGACAGGATGTCAAAATCTGCATCTAGCATAGCTAATCATTATATGTTAGATTTCCTGTGACTCATAGTTGAATTTTACTAAGGTTTTGATTATTTCAAATTTCTGTAATTGAAAACGTAATTCTTATAGAATTAAAAAGTAAATTCTATTAATCAGGAGAGAGATAACATGATACATATGAAAGAAACTAGAATAATTTTTAATTGGATTTAATGATCCATCTGTTATCCTACAATCAATATGAAATATTAGTAACTAAATAAAGAGCCAGTATGGTGTAGTGGTTAAGTGCTGGCCTAGAATCCAGGAGATCATGAGTTATAATCCTGCCTTAAGCATCAAAACCAGCTGTGTGACTTTGGGCCAGTCACTTTTTCTCAGTCCTACCCACCTCACAAAGTTGTTATTGTGAGAAAAACAGAAGGAGGAAGGAATATTAAGTATGTTGAGTTTTTGATAAAATAATAAAGACAGGATAAAATCTAACAAATAAATAAGAAGGTGAATGCTTGTTACTATAGTGATTTCTTCTCTTTGCAATACTATACTAGTTCTGATACTGTTCCAAATAATTTGCCAATCTCCTTGTTCCCCAGAACAAATTTTAAAATGTTTGGGTAGCTACAAAAGAAAGAAGCAAAATTTGATTGCATGCTTCCTAAGGCCTAGACAGAATGATTGGCCCAGAGTCACTCATTTAAGGCTTGTGCCTAAGGTGGGACTAAAACTCACAGTCTCCTGGTTTCTAGGCCAGCACCTTGACCACTACACCAAACTGACTGTCTCTGAAATATTACTCTAATTATTTTCACGGAAGAGTTTCATCTGTGGAAGATAACCTATAGAAGGACACCAGTTCTTGCACTTGCATTATTGAGAAACTGTGTAATATCACTTACCCTTCTCCCAGTAAATGCTGACAGTCATTCTGGTTTCTCTTTAAGTTGCATATTCTTCCTGGAGTCATTCATATTAGAGGTGGGGGGGGGAGAAACAGGAGGACCAGCTTGAATGCTTCATTAAAGCAATCCTGTAATATGGCCTTAATAATTAAAACGATATAGAAACAATGACCCAAAAGTTAAGTATGCTACTTAAAGAGAATACTTAAATTGATTAGTTACAAAAGCAATCCAACTGATCCTTTTCATCTGATTTGCAATTATTTATTTTGTGGTAGTTTCTGTGTTTTTTTGTCTACTCCTATTGATTGCAATTGTTCTATTTATGTTATAGAATTTGGAAGAGAATATTAAAAAACAAATTAGAGATGAAATAAGTGCTTGGAAGCTGACTCAGGTAAGGAAAATAACTTTTAAAATGTTTGTTCAGAATATATTTTTTATTATTTTAATTATTCACACCATCTCTTCTGTATAATTTATGGCATGATGTATGGGAAAACTGCTTGAATGCTAAGCTACCCATAGATCGTACTAAAATGATTTTACTCTACTAAAGCTACTTCAAGGAAGAACTTATAGAAAGCTGTTTTCTTGGCTGTCTACTTTTCTTGCCTGGTAGGGGAGAAACCATCAGCTCCAGATGCTCATATGATCAAATTGTATCTTTCTTTTTTTAAAAAACCATTAATCCAATCTGTAAAAAAATTACATATAAAAAAGGAGCAGTTCGCTTGCTGCCCTGTAGGCAAATTTAAAAGTCCCCTTAAGTCCCTAAAACCAGATATCTTTTAAAACAGTAGTTAACAAAAGAACAGCTTTCAAATTACAGAATTAAAAGATGAAATAGATCATTTACAAATTACAAATATGTAACCATTTCTGCTTATGATTAGTGGTTTTTTTTCACATAGGACTTCTACAGGATTTATAGGACCATCCAGCTATTATGGTGGTCATATATCACAGTTGAAAATTTTCCTAAAGAGCAGCAACAAGACAGCAACAAAATTCCCAGATTTGTAACAGGCAATTTAGTACATCTCTTTTTTCACTCTATCCCCTGTGCATTCAATTTGAAGCAGGATTATCTAGAACATATTTTTACACCAGGGCTCAGTCTAAGAATGTGTGTAAAATAATGATGCATTCACTTGAAAGAAAGACAATTTTTTTCAAATAATTTATCTTAAAATCAGATAATTGTCTTCAGTTTATAAGAGGTAAATAGAAACATATAGGGATGAGAGTTTTTGTTTTCTAATTTAAAGGCATCTTAGAATTTAAATACAGGACAGAAAGTCTCATAGGCATCTGATAAAAAATCAAGATGATGAAAAAAATGATGATTCAATTTGGATATTGGAATCATTACAGCATTCCATTTGGATGCTCCAGGTTCCTGAAGGGTCTAATTTCCTCTATTGTCTATTATTCCATCCAGGATCCCAGCAGAAAAGAAACATTGTGGCAGGCTGGTTATAAAGATATGACTTTTTGAAAAGCAACTGTTTTCTTCTGAAACTTGGAAGAGAAATACTGTATGCTGTCAACATAATGATGATAGTAGCATATTTTCTGCCAGGAATCATGTAGTTTCAACTACAACTTCCATATTTCTAGTAGACATTGTAATTCAAAGTCTTTTTGCCTTTTCTACCATTCTTTCCAGTTTGCTCACAGGAATCCATCATTTAAGGAATTCTTTAAAAAGCATACATGTTGAAGATTTTTAAAATTACCATGAAAATGTGGTGTGCTTAAAAATACAGTGTGTGAATATTAATTGTTTCATGCAATATCTGTCTGAGATATGTATTTTTGACAAATGGAACTGCCTGTTTTTGGATGTCTCCCTTTAGTTCAAATGTATTTTGTTTATTTTATAAACAGAAAAGAATTAAAGCACTACAATTAGAGTTAGAAAGAAAGAAAAAAGAACATGACAAATTACAGGAAAAAGTTAAGAATAAATTAAAAAAATATGAGCTGCTTTCAGCTGAACAAGCAGAAATACTGGAAAAAAATAAAGAAATGTACAAAGAACTTACTGAGGTAAGTTAAATAAGAACATGTTGAAACGTTGCTCCATTATACTTCGCTTGTTAAGTGCTTTTGCATTTCCTTCACAGAATATAGTGGGATACAAATTGACATTTGGAATAAATCAACATGTCAGTAATGAAATTAAATGTAAAATAGCTGGTTCTCTGTGGCTGTAATGGCTTCAGTGATATGCAAAAAAGAGACTGAAATAATTTTATTTTCAAAATGGCACATTAATGGCAATGAGTAATACTATCAGCTCTTCCCCAAGGCACAAAACTCAGTAGAATCAATGGGATAAAGACCAAAAGGCTTATTGGGAATCTGGGAGGAATTGTACATCTTGTACATATGTTTTAGTGAAAACCAGTATTGTAGGCATCCTGATGCTAAGAATAAAACTTTTTATGCTTGGTTACCTAACAGTTAATTAAAAATGTCCATCACTGAGATCAGTGCTGCCCCCTGTATTTCATGACTTCTGGATTTTATAGGGGTCTAGGAATCTGAGCTGCTAAATTATTAGTTCAGCTTACTCCAGAGCAAACACTGCAGTTTCAGTTTTGCAGCCACTATCTCCAAGTGGTGGAGCGAATGACATTCTACTGGTGGGAACTCTTCACTAATCCATCTGCCCGTCTTTCCTGTAGCCATGATAACTTGCCAGGCTCTCCCATCTTCCCCAAGCATTCTGAGGGACAACTTTGTTATTTTGTTTTCACTCTGGCAGATTTTGCCCTTTTTCCTCATACTTTGAAATGATAAGAAAAGATGAAAGTGGGTCACCAGTTAGTTCACTGCTTGTTTCTGTGTTTTTCCTTTTACCATCTGGAGGGAGCAACTGACTGACTCTGTGGATTAATAAAGTTCAGTAGTGGGAACATTGGGTAGAACTGTTGCTAAAGATTTGAGAAATCTGGCCAATGACTAATGGAAGTTTAATAACAAATGTATGAGACTTCATTTTGATTAGATTCTATTGCTCTTTTTTGATCTGCATTTGTATTTTTCAGAAAGTAGCCGAATTAAATCAGAAGATTCAAGAACTTGATGACAAGGAGGAAAATGTGAAAAATGAATTAGAAAATAAGAAGAAATATTCTCAGGGCCTATTAGATGAAAAAAAGGTGAATATGTTAATATTAACATTAATAAGTTTTATTTTCAAATGCTAAATAGATGCTTGTCCTCCCTGATCTTGAATGTATCTAAATCTTTCTGTAGGTGGTACAGTATTCATTTCCCTTTCTTAAATGAACCTAATCATAATCTTGAGATGGAATAAAATATAAATTCATGTTGGGGTCACTTCTATTTCTTTATTATGAGTATCGACTCATAATATTTGGGAGACTTTGAAGAAAGGAAGGTAAAAATCAATATGAGGAAGAAAAAGTATTCAATTCTGATAGAAATAGCCTGCTGATTATACCTTTGCACAGCAGATGGCATCTTTTTGTAAATTATGGTAGATGTTTACTACTGTAGTTGTCTATGTTAGCAAATGAGATATTTTGGCTATTATTACGAATACTGTGTTTATATAAATGTATTTATAATTGCAAGCCTTTGTATAAAATGTCTTATGTGTATTATTGTTGTGTTGCATTGGTTTTGTTGTGCATATTTGTAAGTGATTAAGAAGTTAATGTGGTTAACCAGGAGAGTTCACATCTATAATTCAATCAAAACAGTGCTTTTAATCTTACTCCAGAGTCCCTAATTCTTTTTGAATAATAATAATAACAACAGCAGCATTGACAAAAGCCCCCTGCACCCAGGAGTAATTGGGCAAAATTGAGAATTACTGTATCATTTAATCTTAAAATACAGTATGCGGGGAGGAAGCAATCACAAATAAATCTAAAAGTAGTCAGGAAAATTGTATATCTAATATCCTTCACCCTGTCACCTTTACCTGATAAGTGAAATTAGGCAAAATGCAGAAATGGAATAACAAATACTAAGCAATATAAATTAAAATAGGAAATAAGAGAAAAAGAATGAACTAAACATAGTTTATGCCAGTACTGTTTGCAACACATATCCATATCTTTTTATCCTTGCAAACTATCCTTGCTTCTACCATGTTTATGGATCAGCTCGAACAAACCAATCAGGTGGGAATGGGATCTTCTTCTTAGTCCATTAGCCATCTTCAGCATGGAAGACCCCCATCAGGGCCCCAGGCCAATCAACAGAACCAAGTTTTGAGAGTCCTTAGGAAGGCCAAGAGGGTAGGGACAAATTTCAGCCCAAGGGGCACGATGTTCCAGAGGGTGGGAGCCATGGAAAAAGCCCTTCTCCTGGATTCTGCTAGTTGGAATTCCTTGACTGGCAATGTCTGTCACATACTCCTTCTGATAAAATAAGTTGGGCAGGCCAATCCCATTGGGGTGAGATGATTCCTCAGGTAGCCTGGGCCCATGCCAAAAAAGGGCTTTAAAAGTGATAATGGGCACCTTGAATTGGACCTCAAAGTAAACTGGTAATCAGTGTAGCTTGTACAACAGTGGTGTTACATGTCCACATGACTGCATTCTGTGCTAGCTGTAGCTTCCAAATATTCTTCAAGGGTAGCCTCATGTAGAGCACATTGCAGTAATCCAAACACAAGAAGACCAAGGCATGTGTGACTGAGTGCAAGAACTGATGATCCAAGAAAGGGCACAACTGGTGTACACACAAACTTGTGCATAGGCTCTCCTAGTAATATCAATATACCGGTAATAATAATAATAATAATAATAATAATAATAATAATAATAATAATAATAATAATAATAATAATAATAATAATATTAGTAATTTTGTAAAAAAAAATAGAATCCACCATTAGGAAGCATCATATTCTTCCTAATTCTATATCAAGTAAATATTTTAAAATAATTGCATTGAATGTTGAGTCATATTTAGATGTAGAATCTGGGGTGCACTTTCTGGTGAAAGTCATATAATTTATTGTTTTGCAAGACTTCAGTTTCTGCATTTATTTCTGGGTATTATTTTTTTAGGTTTCTTATAGCTAGCTCCCTGTTTATATTACTAAATTAATTGCTATTTATTCTATTTTTATCCTGCCTTTATTACTTTAAAAGTGATTTAAGGCAGTGAAGTTACCTAATATTCCTCCCTCTTCCTATTTTCCCTACAACAACAACCCTGTAAGTTGAACTGAGAGAGAGTGACTGGCGCAAAGTCATGTATTTGCATTAACTTTATCTAAAATATTTTAGCATTTGCTCTAATCTCTGTACCCTACTTGGCTCTTTTGGGTGGCTTGGCAGAGTGTGATTTGGGTAGGAATTAATACTTTTCTTGGGGAGAAGTGATACCTTCTAAGTTGAAAGAGGGAATGGTATGTGTTCCCTCCTGAAGAGGCCATTTCTCATTTCAGCATATTAGATAACTATGCAGTCTCCAGGTTTTGCTTTCTGGGAGGATTCTAAAGAACATGTTAGGGCTTCAGCTACAAAGAATTCTATACAAAATGAATTATCTGGACCTATTTCAGCCAATAATCAAACCTGGGCATAGGACTGAAACAGCATAGTAGATAACCATTGTCTGGAACTTGATGGAGGGAGGTGGACCATTCCTGGTACAATTAGACTTCTTGGTGATATTACTATTGTGTTATTCTTCTGAACCACTTTTGAGGGGTTTGGAGTTTTAGACGTCATGTTAAAGTGGTTCCATTCCTTCCTAAGTGAACAATTCCAGTAATTGATAATGGGAGATTAATGGTTAAGCCTGGGGTCTCCTCCAATATGGAATGCCTTTGAAGGTAATTCAGAAAGTACAACCACTGATTCAGTGGTTAAACTAATGATGAGCGTAAGGAATATAAAACCAAGGCTTCAGTAACTAAATTGGTTGCCAACCCAGGGTTCAAACTATATGATTTAACCTCCATGTAGCTTCAGAATCATCTCTTCCAAGTAGATGGGGTCCACCTGTGCATTCGTCCCGATAGTGAAAATCATTTCTTATATACTGATCATGTGTAACAATAATAAAAAGCACAGGAAAGACATATTGAACAATGACCAAAAATTGAATTATCTTATTTGTAAAACATATTTGAAAATAATAACTCTGATTTAACAAGTGTACCTTTACTGAAATCATGTTGCCTAACTTGCATTACATTTTCAGCTGCAGTTATGAAAATAGTTCTGTTTTGGGATAAATAATTTAATGCATCATTACATGTAATTGTGCTTTTAACCCTTTTTTTTAATTTTCAGGAGAAATATTTAGGCATTTCAAGCCAATTTACTAAAGTCAATGGGGAAATTGCACATTTACAAAAAGAAATTGCAAAATTAAATACTTTAAGGAAAGGACAGGATAACCAGGTAGACAATGTAGAAAAATCTGTAGTGATGTTGAGGTAAGGCTCACAGTCCAATAAATAATGCATAGTGTTAAGTTGGGAGCAGTAGAATGGGAGCTTTCAAAAATTTCTCACACTTTCAGCCTCTTGCCCAGGTTTCTTACATGGGTTCCCCAGCCTTCTAGAGGACATTATGAGAGACGCACAATTTGACTCAGAAGGCAAAGAAAACTGAATAGCTATATTGTTGCTGTTTAAACACATACAAAAATATATGTATGAGAATGTTTTCCCCAGATAAAAGTTATAAAACTTTTAGAAAATTCCAGTGATCACAAAAAAAGATGAATTTTGTGAAATATAGATGTGTGCACACAGACACACACATATATATGACTTACACACATTACACACACACACACACACACTGCATACACACACCATTTAATCAAATTTATTAAACAAAAGGAAAACAACACAATGAAGTATTACTGTGGTTCATATGAACTGTGTCCTCTCTGATGTTTAACTAATGCATGATTAATATCACCTGTATCTTTATCATTATATTACCTATGAAACCACAGGATGTCTTAAGATATGCAGTATATCTATGAAATCATTTCAGCTTGTAAAAACTTCTTTGTAAAGAGTTGTAAGTCACAGACATTTATGAAAAGCCAAGATTTTCTTAGAATGATGACATCTAATGATGTGCTTTGTGATATCACAGTCTCAGTTCCACCCATTATATGCTTATGCATGACCAAAGTACAAAAGGGATGACGTTTGTGTTGTGACAATATGATATATGTTTTGTCATTTGCCCTGGGCACTGATGGTAGATAAACTGTTTTCAAGAACTATAATCATGGAATATTGTGTAGGACAAAAACTGACCTTTCTTCTATTCTAAAGAAGTTAGAACCCTTTTTAAAACATTCCTGTATAACTAAATTATGCTTTTTGTAGTCTTTATGCAGGTATATAGGCACATCAACAAACAAACAAATACTGTATATAAGCATAATTGGATGAACAACATTAGAATTAAATAGATTACATAATAATAAAAAGTAGATGGAGTCAATCTAGTCAACCAAGACATTTTCAGATACACATTGACAAACAGACTAAGAATTGCTGGTTTCAAATATATGAATTAGAAAATTAAAGTAAGTAGGTGTGTCTGAAGTTTTTAATCTGGAGGCCTTATAGTAGGAATATAAGATCAGTGTAAGATACATGTTTAATATGCTTACATCATACAAATATCAAAGAGGAACAGGGAAGAGTGATGATTCACGAAACCAAATATTGCCAACAATCATGAGGAAGAGCTAATAACTTTTCAGAAAAAACCGAAGGAAATGTACTGATCTCAGTCACAAATGTTAACAGGAAAAAAACAAGAAGAATAAAATGAGATACATATTTTAAGATCAGGGAAATCACAGGAAATTTTATAACTAAACTAGGAATATTCAAGAGCAATCATCTGATGGAGATTTTAAAAAAAGATAGGAAGGAACCTGTTGTACGTTTAACAGTGGGGTTAGAGAATTACACATGTTAGTATATATTTAGGAGCTGTCTTCATCAGCAAGTGAGATAGATTAGCTGACGAGCAGAAAAGCACCAAGCACAAAGGAAATGCCCACTGAATTTTTTAAAGATTCAGAAAAGGGGAAGTTAATGTATTAACACCTCTCCTCCAACGAATATGGAACAGGCCGCATGGTGGTGCATATACTGTACTTGTACCAAAAAAGAGGAGATGTAAGGAAATGTATGGATTACTGAATCATTGCAGTGATTCTTCATGTAAGCAAAATTCTACTTAAAATCTTGTCTGAAGTACAGAGCCATGTAGACAGAGAAAGGATGGCAAATTAATTAGCAAATTTCAGAAAAAATAAAGGATTAAAAATAATCAGCTAATATATGATCAACAAGCAGGAACTTATTTATTTCGGGGTTCTAATTCTGCTTGGCAAGATCGAGGAAACTAGGGATAACCACAGATATGAATGGATAGGATCAAGAGCATTAATGAAATGTCCTTAGAAAAGCTAGTTACTCAATAGGGACAGCTCAAGATGGAAAACATTTGTTCATGTACTATAGTCACCAGGATCTGAACCTATTTGCTACTAACTAGCAGTTTTAAGTACTGACAAGAATGTGTCAGTTTTGTTACACTTCACAACTTTGTACTGCAGCTAAGCTGTGCATATGTTTTGTTAAAGATTATTTATTTTATTTTATAATTTTTTATT